CCGAAGGAAGAGACGGTGAGTTACGAGATGGAACTCTTCACAGCCTGCTGGTAAAAAAGTTGCCTGATCGTCAGCTAGAGAATTACAGTCGCTGGTTAAACGAACGCGCCAGACAAAGATCAGTCAAAGCTTTCAGAGACTGGTTGAAAGACGAAGTGAGATTCCGAATAGAAGCGGTGGAAATGGTGGACGGGATTGAGTCGAAACCTTTCGAGCACGCCAGATTGCCGAGAGTACCGAGATGCCAGGATCAGAGCAGGATGCGAAATTTACATACTGTTGCGATGGGGAAAGACCCGCGTAGTGTGAAGCTTCCATGTTCTCTCTGTCACAGTTTCGATAACGGGGTGTGGTATTGCAAGGAGTTTTACGACAGAAGAGTGGATGACCGCTGGAAGATCGCGAAAGAAGGAAAGCTGCGTTTCCGTTGCCTAGCCTCTGATCATAGGGAGAAAGATTGCCTGAGAGCCCGCAAGTGTGATATAGACGGTTGCTGTCGAAATCACCACCGTCTTCTTCATGGAGGTGAAGTTTTGTCGGAAACTGGACTGACGACAACGTTGCCTTATGTTGAAGACGAGAGACGCCCAGATGTTCCACGGGAGGGGCACCCGCTGTGACCCTGACCAGCTGTAATGAAGGAACGTCGACTGAACCTTATTCGTTATGAACTGTCCCTGTGTGGATGAAGGCCAATGGTAGAAAAGTGAAAATAAACGCCATTCTAGACGACGTATCGAACGAAACTTTCCTAAATGAAGTGGTTGCTGGGGTACTAGGACTGCAAGAGCCTTTCAAAAAAGTTCAAGTTCATGTTCTCAACAACACAGTCGAAAAGTTTCAGTCCATGCCATTAAAATTGAAATCGAAAGTGTGGATGGCAGGTTGTCAAAGGAAATCGAGGTAAAAACATGTCCCCAGAAAGTCACAGGTAGTTACAGAGCTGTGAACTGGAACAAACATCAGGATAAATGGCCTCACCTGACCCAGTGCAGTTTTCCCAGGCCGGCAAATGATGGACTTGTCGATCTTCTTATTGGCACTGATAACGCTGAACTTCATTATTCACATGTTGATCTCGGAGGAAAATATGGTGGACCTGTCGCCTGCCTCGGACCACTTGGGTGGAGTTATATAGGTGCGCCTGACGAAAGCGAAACCGCGAGGACACGACCCCACGTTATTCGTTCCTTCTTAACTACAGAGCCAATTTGGAGCGAGAGAAAAGAGTCCTGTTGTGATGTCGACAACAGCTTAAAGAGATTCTGGGAAATTGAGAAGTCTGGCACAGACCGCGACTACAGACTCGGACTCACCGAAGAAGAAAGACTAGCTTTAAGCAAAGTGAAAGATGCCCTAAAGTACAAAAATGCAAGGTATCGTGTAGCCGTTCCTTGCATGGCAAAATGGGAGGACAGTTCGCTCCTGAGGCCGTTGAAACCACTACTTTGCATCCGCGTCAACGATGGCGGAAGGTTCAAGAGAAGAAAGGTTGTCTCAAGTACTCGTTCCATTGTTGTTTTCGATGCATTTCGGCTTCACTTCTTCAGAGGGAAAACCGACGCAGGCGCGTATCAGCGGTTAACCATATCGAAGAAATATTTACAGAACACGCGCTAACACAACGCTACCTCCGGGTTGATGGACTACTGGCTAAAAATCCTGCATTTTTGGCAAATTCGAGATTTTGCCGATCTATAGATTCGATCGTTGATCGAGAAAAAGTTTTCAGAGGTTTATTTTAAAGTTTTTCCAGTTGTGGAAAAAGATATCAGCTTGTTGGTTATCGTTACTTGTCTCTTCCATCGATGGTCCTTCCATTGTGATTACAGGTTTGTAACTGCGGGCCTGAACATAACCGTTGCTTTAATCTCCGTGCCACAGTTGTGCTTTTCAGTCAATTTTTTTATTCTAATATAAGGTATATCCACCATATGTGTTACAAATATTACTACTTTAGAACGAATTTATTTGGCGAAGGACTCTCAACTCTCATTTGAGTGAAAGATTCGAGAATTAACGAATAATTATAATTAAAGTAAAATTGTTATCTTTAGAACTATGGTAATGCGATCTTTATTCGTTATTCCTATGCGAGACAGTAAATTGTCACAAAAATATGAATTTATCCAATACGTATAGTATTTCTTAGAATGTGATCGAATTTCTTTATCGGGAAAATATTAATGCAGTCTGAAGAATAATTACGCAGGAGCTAATAACTTTTGACTTAAGTTATTCTGTGTTAACCATTACTGGTTCCGAGAAGTGAGTCAGGAAGTTTTCGTGGAAAACATAATGATGATTTGAGCAGACGCTTTATAATTTGAAAAACATATTTGCTAAGTGGGCTAAATTTTAAGGGGTAGTCTGTCTTGCAAGAGCCTTTTGACTTTCCTTCCTTCTACTATTTATTATACAATTAGCTGTAATCAAAGCCAAAAACTGCAATATAATTACATTCTTACAATGTGCTTCTGATTCTTTTGATCTGATAGTTTGCTCTCATATACAATTGTATATATAATTCACACTCATCAATTGAGTCAATACAGGTGAATCAGTTACTGAAAATGGTCTCTGAAGATTCTAAATCTTAAAAATTAGGTTCAAACTGTTGATTGTAAGACTAGTTCATTTGCACATTGACGTTAAAATATCCTTTGGCCAAAAATCACACAAGAATTAAACTACTTCCAACTGTGAGAACCTGTTCTTGCTAATCTATCACAGGAGCAAAGAAAATAAAGCATGCTCCTCTTAAATGTTGGGTTGATTTATTATTATCCGCAGCAATTAAGTTACCTGTTTATGATCATTAGCAGTTTCAATAGCACTTGAGCATAAATCATACTTAATAGAATTGATTGATTAGAAAAGATAAAAATGGTGGTGCTGCAGTTTTGCTGAATGGAAATTCCCTGGCTGTAATCATGTTACACTCTTTTTGTTCACACTTTGTGATGTAATAGATCGACAGCAAGTTCTTTTTTGTTTAGTTACTTTAAAATGATTGAAATGCATATATACACTGGTCAGTTCCAAGTAATAGCTGTCAGATGACCCTGAAAGCACTCTGATTTCCTTAACATTCTGTGTTTTTGACAATGTCAAAGGGGAGTAAGATATTGATTAAAATGTTTAGTAAATCATGGCAACTGATAACCTGTCGTCTTCCGCCCAAATTCAAAACTAGTAGAGATCAAAGCTTACCTTTTAAATAGCCTTTGTAACAGCTCAATTCGTATTCTTAAGACTGTCAAAAAAACTTATTGCTCTCTGTTATTTTATTCAGCATCATCTGCTATGTTATTTTCATGTTCTAAAGTCTCAGTGATATTGAGCCTAGGTGAATTTTTACTGTACGTATGTGTTTGATGCTCAGTATGTCTTAAGTCTGAGATGAATTTTAACCTGCACGGTTAACCTTAAGCACATTTCTCAGGGTGTACAAAAGTGGAGAGGTGAACGTACTGCATAGGTGTTTAAGTGTGGCAAAGAGGGTAGTACATTTTACTAAAACCTGGTTGAATTTCCCCCTCAATTTTTGTCCTTATTACTAGTCAAGTGAGCTCGCGGCAAAAAATTTCTTTCTAGTTTTACAAATATCTACAGGTCCAGTTTGCAAAGCAGCCAATTAAAAGAGGAACCCAAACAAAATATCAGAATTGTTTTTTATTTATGTGACATCTCTTTTTTTGACTCAGCAGTGTTATTTTCCATTGTTGTTGGTTAAGGGAATTAATATACAATTATGATGTCTTAAACAAAACTTATGAAGATTTTTTCTCGCGTGTTTGGATATCAAACAATGGCATCAAACATCAGCATACATCTGCTTGTGAGGTTTGACTTGGGGCACTTGCCGTTCATCATTAATTTGAATTATCAGTATTATTTTATACATTTCCAACACTAGGGACAAGGCTTTGTCAGTGTCAGTGTTCAAAAAGTTTATGTGGTTGAGCTTTCCATTTTCATTATTTCTGTTGTTGTTGTTGTTTTTTTTTTTAATAATTAATTTTTTTTGGTTACTATTTTTCTATGCTCATAGTTTATTATGCCTGCTTCTCTATCCATATGCAATTTATGTATTTTCATGAGCAGGACTGACTATTGTTTTCTGTTTATTATTATGAACAGGTTTCTGTGAACCTAAAATAACTAAAAGAATTTCTCTATACAACCAATTGAAGAAGTGACTTTAAGT